CAGCTCTTAAGCTGAATCACTTGTGGTGGAACAGGGAACGAGCTAAGCTACACAGGGCTCCGGCCCCCCAGGACTGGAGTTTGACACCCCTGCTCTAGTTCATAACCTGTGGCAGGGCTATGTAGACATAACAGTTCATAAAGGAATGTGGACTCTAGTTAGCATCAGCAGGTTTACTTGGCCTTAATGAATGTGAAACGTTAAACTCGTCACAGCGAATTGTGTACGCAGCTCAAATAGCATGAAGGAGTCAGTGTTCTACATCGTCATGTCAGTGTATCAAAACATCATGGTCTACGTGACATTGAGTAACTGTCTACCCAGAAACATCCCCAAATTCCTGGTGTTTGTATACCATTCCTCCCCAAAAAAACATAGCTCCCCCCCCCATCCATCCATATTAGCAGCAAAAATGAAAGATTGATTAACCACGAAAAATAAAATGTGTGGGGATTTAAATAACCCTGTTAATGCATAAGGCCTATGACACCTTTAGCAGGCAGAGCCAAATATTCTGAATTTGGAGGTTCGACAAGGCATTAAAGGCAAAGTTCATCTGCAGGCCAGTGAAGCAGCATCAGAGATAACACTCACAGACATGCACAGACCTGCATCACCTGGCTGGCGGACATGGACAATGGAGAGAATGGGGGGGGGAGGGAGAGAGAGAGAGAGAGAGAGACAGATAGAGACAGTGGGACTAGGGCCCTGAAGTTTGAGGGGCATGGATACCTTGGCAGGTTCTGGGGGCCAAGCGTTTGCCTGGGACTCTTGAATACATTATATGCAAACCTGGACAAGGGAGCCCAAGGTGAGATTTTGTCAGGTACGACCCCTGGCCGTACCCACGGCAGATACAAGGCAGCAGCTCCAAATGTGACAGTCATTAACGTGGAAATGCCAGGCATCAGAGATCTGACGAAGCACATGGTGTCGGCACCTGCTATGGCACTGTCTGTGTACTGCGTCATCATACATACCTCGAGGGTTTGGTGCTGCCATCCAACAAGAAGGTCCCTGCTGACTTCAACTATTTCAATAAATTATATAATTTAAAATAAGAGATTGGTACAATCTAGAAGTATCAGTAACACATATACACATATACATAAACCACGACAATTGCCATATCCAAAGCACCTTTTGACAAAAGACAATTGTTTTAGTGCCTTTGCTAATAATTAATGATATGAGAATGTATAGATTGTGACTTAAAGGATTGTAAAAGGAATCTAATTTGTGCAGACATTTAAAAAAAAAAATCTTTGTTATTTAAACAGTTGTCATGGCTTACTATTTAGGGCAGAATCTCTCCGACTGAGTCACAGAAGCCGGAACATTCCACAATAAGGTAGCATATCTTGTCATCTGTCCTAGACACATGTGGTCCATGATGCTTAATGTCCGTAACTGGATTGCTGGTGTCCTCTCCAGCAGATTTCCATCTGAATAGTTACGGATGGGGAACATTCCTTCAAACTGCCTGGTACTGACATAAATCCTTCAGTTTTGGGGTTTTGCTTGGCTGGGTTGCTGGCTGGGACATGGCTCTGTCAGGGTGATTCATGGGAGCTCACAGCAGCCTCCGTCGATGGAGCCGATGGTGGCAGAATGATGTCATACATGGACACATGGCTGCATATGAACAGCAGCAAGTGGACTGATGAAACTCACAACATACATGAAAAAGCATCCAATGCAATGACTACAAATTGAGCCCTGTTTCAGTTCAGTAATATTTATAGACTCTCATAGCTGATAGGGGAATTAGAAGAAAGTCAACATCCTTTATGATCATCCCTCTATTTCTGTAGAGAAACAGTATTAGGTTAAATAAGTGATCATTCTCCACAAAGGGACCATAAAACAGATTTTTAATACTCAGCTGTGGACAATATTCTATGTAAAACAACCAGGCTGTATCTTATGAGGCCCCATTTATTTATGTATTTGGGGACTATCCAGCACATTTGTTCCATAGTTTGTACTAACAAATAGTTGTAAAATGGGCTTATTCTTTCAAGAATGTAAAATTTCTGGGGGGAAATGAGGATTTCTTAAAGTGAAATGAATACTGGCCATATTTATTAACCTCTGAAGCAAGTGTCCAGTCAGGGCCAAGGCGGATAAAGTGAGCACCCAGCTGCAGAATGTTCTGCAAGCATTTGATTGGCCAACACAGTGCAGATGGCTAATGCTTCTTATAAACAAAAACAAGCACAGAGACTTCAGTGACTCTAAGAGTCCAGCAGACATGATTCATTTTAGCCAGGGATGTCGAATGCAGCGACTGTCATTTAAAACGCATAATTAGATTTATTGATTTGCTTGCTTAAGAAAATATGTGAAGCATCCTTAACAATAAGCATGAATCTGATTTCATAGATATGAACTAGGCCGAAGAATCATTGAAGGAGATTTCAGACTTATTCTGGAAATTTTGCGAATGCTAAACACAGATGTAATACATAACCCAGCAGAATATGATGAGTCAATACATGCAATATTGAAACAACCCAGTCTGATCAAAAAATCTGATATATAACTGATATATCATGATAACTCATGCAATACTCATATATGGAGTGTTATTAAAATGCTAATCACAGTTTATCAAGGGTTAACGCCACCACAAATAACCACAGAAAAGACTATTGTTTTGGGAGTTACAAAGCTGAATACAGACATTAGGCTTTGTTAACTAAACATTACTGCTGTTATTTTTAGAATTATTTCTAGAAGGAAACAGTTCCTTCTTGTTAATTAAAGCAGAAGAAATCTGGCAGTTTTACTATAAAGGAAATGCTTTCAGCGTACGTTCATTTTCATTGACTCTGCTGTAAGTTATGAAACAATATCCACATGGGGACAGGCACATGTCTGTCTTCCAGGCCATTTCCGGAAACCCAGGGGGATTCCAGCTTCCGTGGCATCCGCCTCCCTGCGGACAGAGGTGCTAATCCAGGGCTCCGAGAAGGAGCTCAATCTGCAGAGCACGGCCAGCGATTCCAGATGTTACTTCACTCTGCACCTGCTCCCTGAGCTGACTGTCTGGGAACAGGGCAGAGAACACACACACACACACACAAACACACACACACAGATCCCATTTAGGATCGTCCTGCACACAGACATTCTTCAGTGCTACACAATTCTCCCCTTTACTAGATCAAACCGGTGCTTTCCAAGCAAATGGCCCAAATGAAAAACATCCTTACTTGACACCAATTTGTCTGGATGACTGAAGCACTTCAATTCACTCATGGCTTCGTCCTTCACCTGTGAATTTAGATACAACTGTGGAAAGAACTATGTTCTTTACTCTCCACAGCTGTCAGTTCACTACTTGGCTCAGTGGGTGATGGCAGGTTTCAGCCACTGGCCAAAGACATCAGTCTTTCTAAACTGCCCTTAGTGGGTATCTTATGAGGAAATGACTTCCTGTCTAGGGTGGCCGTTTGTTTGCTGCTTATCAAGACTCGGCTTTGAATTAGATTTCATGAGAAAGGTTTGTATGCTCATTTCTGTACGTTTTTTTGATCCTGAAGAAAAGGAGGGAAATGAGGAAAAACAGTAGTGTGCTGATCATATCTCGGATAATCCACGGTACTCCCCATTGTTCTAGTGTGAGATTTTTAGCGTGCCACTTTTTGTCTGCATTCCCATACAATGATGAATCGAGGATTCCAGGATTATTTGGCGAGGCACATTGTCGGGCAACGGTGAAGTGTGATAGCCAAAGCAGATGCCACAAACTGTATAGTGTCTTGCCTCATTCTCAGGGATTCTTGCCCTTTTCATCTAGCCTGAGATGGGGAGGAGACTTGGCAAGTATGGCTGTTGTGTTTGGCAGTGTTTTGAACAGAACCAACAAATGTGCTTAAAACCATCTGACGACAGAGAGAAGAATTATCAGGTATTGATGTTCTCAAGTCACTCATTCAGGAGCTTGAAAAGTAAATGAAAGCAAATACACTTGTGTTCCCCTGAAAGTGTCCATCTGTTGCCTAAGGCTACTTGATTAACACCATGATACTGTCACCACAAGATGTAGCTGGTGCCCCTGACACTGTAGTAATTGGTTCTACAGGCCAAAGGAAATAATATGTTGCTCCGCAGCTTGTGTGTCACTGGATGTTGAGGGGAAACCCAAGATGAACTTATTTCACTATATTGGTCCAAAATTTGGTGATAGTACTTAGTACTGCCCAGAGCTTACAAAACACCAAATTACACTTACATTGCAGCAGGGAAACATTCATATGTTTCACTGTTTTCAATACATTAATAAACAGCTGTTTACCTGACAGGTGAAAGCTGTGATCTGCAGTAGATGAGATTCCTGTAACATTGCAGTGGTAGCCAAAGACTCACTCACTGTGATGAGCTTGTGTTAATGCAGAGAAAAATAAATGGAAATCATGATTACAAACAGAGACTTATCTGAGTTTACAGAACTTGCTTTGTCCAGTTATGCAACCGTAGAAGTAACGATGTTATTTTGAAACTGTCTTCTTGGACCGAGACACGAATATGTTGGATGAGAAATGGCAAAATTCTCTCAATAACAATTTTCTGGTTGCTGTAAATATTTTTTTTTTTGTTTTAATATCCGCATGGTAATGGCAGAAATTTAGACCATTCCAGAAATATGACCTAAACAACAAATTTTAAGGCATCGTATAAAGCCACATTGTAGCCTGGAATAGCATGTTTAAATGCTCTCAAAAACAGTAAATGCAAACATTTTGTGTACAGAAACAGCAACATAAATCTTTTATGCCTCTCTCTGGGTTAGTGTATTCTTTTCTTTTTTTGGTTTCTTTAAAGGTCAGAATATGTGGTTGGCTGATATTATACCAGCAAATAAATTTGAATATTGGGTACAGACCCACTCTCATGAATTAAAATGGATTATATACAAGATAATCCTTTTCAGCACAAATGGACAAACTAAGATCTGAAACTTTCCGTATACATAAAGTGAACACACTAAGTGATAATGACCAAAAAGTAATTGTTTAATTTGGCTAAGTTTAACCAAAAGAAATTCTTAAATACAAATATATAAAAAGAATAAAAGACAGATGTACACCTGTCAATCTAATAAACATTTGACTGTTCTTTGAAATACACAAAGTACACTTTCAATACAAAATTTAATTTACAACACTGTAATGAAACATATAGGTATTCCATAATAAAAACATCACAAAACCATTAAAAAGTTATGCATTGAAAATGACAATCTTAACTTCACTGTGCAAAAATTTAAATGCAGCTCAGCTTATCTGAGAAATGTAATTTTTACAACAGCCAAATTAGTGTCTTCAAAAAAAATGTATACAATATATAAAAAAAACAGCATTTGAAGTGCTAAAGATCTTAGTGCACTTTTGGCGATATGTTCCTGGTCCCTGCTATTTGTAAGCAGCAGTACGTTTTTGCATTATACAGAAAACCCTTAAATTCTGTTTTTACACAGATTCCACAGTTCAAAAAGAACAGCATTAGACCTGTCAGTGTTTGCATGCTAATGCCGCATAAACTATTGTAGTGCAAATCACATTGTCTGAAGGCCAGATGTGCACCCCCTCCAACATAAAGCCACATCCACTCTGCAGGCTGGGCTGGGCTTGGTCACGCATCGGAGATGCAGCTCTGGATCTTGTCCATCCACTGCTGGGCGCTCTGAGCATCCGAAGCACAGAAGTTGTATGTCCGCTTGGTTGTCTTCAACTGGAATGACATCACCGGATTAATGAGACCTACTGTCGATATTTTGCACATGTGCATTTTCACACCGCTTATTGTCTTCTTATGTACCATGTGACCTGTATCAGGACTGTGGGAAACAAGGGAGCAGACTCACATCAAAGAAGGCCTTCTCACTGATGTGTTTGGGTGCTCCGATAGTGGGAGTAGCTAGCATGACGGACTCCACCTCCGCCAGGTCAATGTAGCCCCTGCAGCTCGTGTCCTCACCCGTGTCGTAGTATCTCATCTGAACCCAAGAGCAAAGTTAGCCGCGCCCGAATGAACAGGAAGCGCAATACAGTCCACCAGCTGCCAGGCTCACCTGGTGTTTGGTAACGTCTAGGACGAACCAGCGGGGTTTCCAGCCTTTGAGCAAAGCTCCTCGTTTGAACAGGATACCTTCAAATGAGCTGAAATAATCAACAGTCTATGGAATAATCAAGACTAAATAACTGAGACAATTCATGCCATGTGTGTTGGGTGTCCAAAGTGACACTGACTGTCCCAAAGGCCTCACCGGTTCTCATCATTCTTGGGAGCGAACTGGTTGTAGAGAGTGGCAGCCCTGCGGCTGACCCCATTGGAAGCAGATGGGCTGCTCTCCTTAGCCAGGCTGCTATCCGGTAGGTAGAGCATGGAGCGCCTTTGTGAGGCCATGAGGCCGGAGGTGGGGATCAGGCCTGAGATAGCCAGGCTCTGCTTGTGCAGCTGCAACATGGAAGAGCACATCTATGCATGCAACCCAGACAGGACTTCCTTCCTGTTTCCTTGTGAAAATGTAACTTTAAGGATGAAAAGGGAAGGATTCTGCTTTTAGAACTCACTGTCCAGAAGGACATGAAGGAAGATCTTTGATATAATTGCAGCAATTCTCTTTAGAAATCAGACATTTGGAAATGTTAAATCTATTTATACAATAGTTTGGGGATTCCTTTACTGAGCAGAAACAAAAATGTATTCAGAAACAGACGCTATGAATCATAACCCTGTACCATTTAATTTGTAGCAGATTCTTTGGAGGCACGTAAATTGTTTACAAATCAGGCAGCAGATTATGCTGAAATGAATCCACACTCACATTACTTTCTTGTTTCAGGTCCTCCTTGATGTTGGTCTTCACCTTTTCCAGTGCAGTCTGCCACCGTTCAGGGGTCTGGCCAAGCTCGACCTCCAGCTTCTCTATGTTCTAAAATTCATACATTTCAGGAAAAAGTGACTACATTTTGGTAGTAATCTGCCGAGAACATGAACAGTTTTTTTCTATTTAAGTCTAGACGAATGCTTGGGCTACAAGCTACTCAGGAAGAGAGGCATCTCATTTCCCAGCAGCCCTTGGGACTCACAGTCAGCAGCTTGCTGATGGCATCTGGCTGTGCTTGAGCCACGTTACTGTAGCAAGGCCAAACAATTCTCCTCTTGCTGCTGGCGATGGTGTCCGTGTTCTCGCTGCCTTCTATCTGGCTGGCTATCATACTCCACTCATAGGAAGGACCCGTGGACAAGGTCTCCTCAGTGAAGTAGTCCCACTTTCTGAGGTTGGGCATGCCAATGGAGGGCCTGATCACAGGCTGAACAGGGAGCAGGGAGAATAACAACTATCAAATCAAACATGGCAGCTTCAATATGTTATACAAACATATAAACCACCAAAAACACCAAGGGGCTGAAGGACAACATGGCCAAAATGATTTTGCAGATCTCTTATTGCAGCTTTATTTTTAACGAACATTAAAATAAAGTTACAAGGAAGCAGTTTGGGCATCACCAATAAAACCAGACTTCAGCCCAGCAATCAGCTACTTCACAGTAATTCAGTTCATGATTGTTTTACCATAATAGACCTTGAATTTTGATACTAGAATTTCACTGATTTCCCCAATATAATGTTTTTATTAGCCACAGAATGCATGTAATTTTTAAACATTACAGTTTCAGCCAAGCATCATGCGTGTAAAGAAGGCATTCGTTTGCTTGGCACAATACTGCCGAAAAAAGCTTCTTCACATTTAATTTTAATAATCATTCATTAAATTGTAATTTGCTACTCATGAACTTTTTCCACTTATTCTATAGTGGTATTTGGGGAAATTGTGGTTTTAGGGTTGAGCTGGAAATGCTTTATCATTTTATCAGTTTATGTTTTTCCGATTTATGTTGGTTTTCTGGGAACAAATTAGTAACATTAGTGAAGTAAAATGAGGAAAAGCATTACTTCACAATGTTTATTGACTGGTCATTAATTGTAAATTACTCTTAATGTGGAAAAAATAGGACCATCCATGTTTTTTCTTTAGAATTCTGAAAGAGCTGCATTTCAATAATGAACATGTCATTCACAAGCCGAATTTTTGTTATCAGAACACCTTAAATGCTTGGGTTCCTCCACAGAAACCAAAGATATGGGGCGAATCTGAAGGACTTTAGAAGGAATCTAAAGTCATCATACCTCAGTCTCAGATGGGCTATAAAGGTAGTTGAAAAACAGAGGCTCTCTTCGGTGCATCCGCCCAATGCAGTCCCAGATACAGATCCCTTTCTTGGCCTGCTTGTCACCCTTGTCCTCAAACTGTATGCCTAGTAGGAGAGTCACTATTTACAGTGAGAATAGGGAAAAAGGCTGGGGACACACTGGATGAGATACCAGTTCATTGTAGGTCCCATTCACACAATCATTCATTAAGGGCAACTCTGGTACATCAATTACTTAACTGCATATCTTTGGATCGCAGAAGGAAATCAACGTGACACAGGGGAAACACGCAAACTCCAGTTAGCCTGTGCAATTCAGTTTGCCAATGTTAATCCGACGCATGAATGGTCTGAAGGTAGAATATCTGATGACTAACCATGTTCAAGGCGCTCGTATTCAGAGTCCAGGAGGAAGTTCTTGAAGCGGTTGGAAGCATAATGGTAAGCCAGGAACTTCAAGTAATGCTGATTAAACTCAAATTCTAACACAGCCTGGTTGTGGATCTGGAATGAAAAACCAGGAAACACATAGAAGGTCTTCCCAGATTTTCTTATGGCTGTGTGATGGCATTATGGCTGAGAAGGATTACGCGCACATGTTAGCCATTAAAAGTGGTGAAACGGAGATGAGAGAGCAAAGATCTGTGACATCATTATTCTCAGGGCGTGCTCTCCAGAGCAAAAGGCAGAAGCTCTGTCCAAACCTTCTGCTAAGGCCAAGTGGTGGATTCTTCTCATTTTAACATTTGGGCCACCTGGCCATATTGGCAAAAACAACTGCTGTTTTTGGGATGAGACACTTCTATTTTAGGACATTTCGAATTATTTTCTTTTGTTTACGACACTTAAAGGACGCTGACCTCCCTGGGTCACCTTGGCAACCACATTTCTAAAGTGACCTGCTTGTAACTGTGCGTGGCTGTAAGTGCCGGGAACAGAGGGCCCTGCACGGAGAACTGAGCATCCTCGAAAGACAGCACCTCACCGAGCTCGATCTTAGTCTGAGGACAAGTGGACCTGTGGAGCAGTAACCCTAGAAGCTTCCGTGACATACAACACTGCATCGAAATGACCTGTCCTGCTGAGGTACTGCAAAAGGAAGCCACAGGGCATCCACAATGGCAGCTGAGACTATCCCTTTTCTCACCCCTGGAGAGATGAATAAGAATCAATAAGAATTGGGAGATAATGAGATTAGAGTAGAGCAGTTGCTTGCCTGGTGCACGCAGTCCAGGAACTGTAGGAAGACGGGTGTGAAGCCGCTGCCCTGGCTGCTTGGGGCTAGGTTGCTGCGCTGGCTGAACTTGTGGCCAAAGGAGAACCACTCCTTCTCCAAGAGTATCTGGAATCCATCCAGGGTCCGGTAAAATGGGTCGCTTAGCAACTGCACTAAGGAGACGACCTGGAGGAGAAGAGAAAACAATACCACAGTGAACAAGTCCTACATTGCAGATCTCTTGCAGAATAATGGCCAAACCTTTATGAAGGCCAGTGTTGGATTTCAGTGTTGGAACCCCAGTGACCATGTTTGAACTAGGAGGACAGATAATCTCAGGTCATCTATGGTTTTCTGCTAGACCAGTAGATGGCTCTGTTATACGCCTGAATGTCTGCAGATTCCCACACTGAAAGCCTTCTCTGGCTTCCACTGGTGAGCCAAGCTGCACATTACTTCTGCTCCCAGCCACTGCAGACGGCTCTTTGAAAGGAAGTCGCTTACACACCAGGATTGCACCTCTGGGCCCTCAAACAGGCTCCCAGTAGGAAGCTGAGGAATTACCCAAATACCTCAAATGAACTGTGAAAATGAAGCGAATACCACACACATGATGTCCATTGTTCTCATTTGTTTGTTACTGCATTGCCCTGACAGCGTATTGAATGTCAATGCTTGAACTGGTAAAATTAGTCTTTCAATGAAAAATAACCTGAACTGGCACACAATCGGGGAAACTGCTATTCAGAAAAAAACTGAATTTCAATGTTACTAATGAGGGTATCTGAGGATAAATACCGCAGACCACAGTTTCATAACATCAGAGTGTGACAACATTTGTAAATCTGCAGGCAAGATGCTGTAATTGTAACTGAAGAGTACAGAAATGAGGTGAACCATGCAAAGTTTCCTCCTGTAACCTTCAGTGACCCCTTCAGGCCAACCTCCACCTTGGTTTCACAGTACCTGGGTTGTGAGGTCCCAACCATCCTCTAGGCTAAGCATGACTGAAGAGCCTGTGTCCAATAACTCCACCAGGATCTGGGCCAGCTGCAGGATCTTGTGAAGCTGTGAGGGCGGCAGACATTTCCTGTATTACTTTTAGAATAACTGGGTAGGGCTGCTCGATTATGGCAAAAATTAGAAACAAATTATTTTGGTAAATACTGAGATCAAGATTATTTAACTCGATTACTCAGTGACTTTGGAAATATGCATTAATTGAACTTTAAAAAAAGAAAGTTGTCTTTTTATCAGTGGATTTCCTTGAACTAAATATAATTCAACTGAGGAACAAATTAAAAGGGACTGGAAAGGGGTGAGCTGGGTTTATAACACAAGACAAAACGGAAGCATCATCGCGAAACGAAATGCGTAACAATAATCGTTTTATCTTGACTATTTTGTTTTGATAATCGTTGGAAGCCAAATTGGTAATAGAAGTTAAAATTTGATCAATCGCCCAGCCCTGTAATTGTGGGGTGTTCAGGCTACTGGTGCTACCCCAAACGGACCTCATTTCTGAGTCACTTTGTATAAAAGCTAAAAATGTATAATGCAGGATAAGGTTTGACTGACTTTGCGGTTCTTATTATTATTGTTGTCTGCAATGAAATAAACAAAGTTTGCTGCTGATCTATTGCTCATTTGCCTTGGCAGGAATCACCCGTCTTTCTGCAATATATGACACCATTAAGGCTAAAGTAGGTAAAAGTTGCTGCCACAGAGAAAAACTTTCCCATCGTTGTCCGTGTTCAGTTTTATCCCTAAGGGTAAGCAACAAGAAAACCTGAGTAAACCTTCAGAAGATGGAAAACAAGCTATTTTTCAAAGAAAACCACACACACCATGAAAGTCTGTTTTCTTTGCAATAGCTATGGAAGTCCCCATCTGGAGCTGGTGAAATAGAGAAATAATGGTGGTAGTGTGTGTGTGTGTGTGTGTGTATGGGGGGTGGGAAAGTACCTGAAGGATCCACTCGGACTCCTCCAGGCTCTTAAGGAAGCTGCCCTCCGCGTCAGAGGACATGCGACTGGGCACACAGGCCCTCAGCAGCTTCTTAAAAGAGCCCTTCACTTGCCGCGTATCGATGACGTCCACTGGCACCAGCTCACAGCTCAGGCTGGCGTCCAGCTTGAGGCCCTTCAACCAGATAGCAGAGGACAGCAGTTACCTTAACAGCTTTGTCTGATTAATAGATGGCAGCAGGTAGCACTGGGCTTAAAGGTGACGCCTCATAAAGAGCAGCTGCAGGCCCAAAGCCCACAGGAGCTTCCTTAGTGTCCTGAGCACCTCAATAGCTGCATATCCGCTCCACTACATGTTTAGCTTTAAGGGGCTACCAATAGTCTGCTACATACCTACAACAGTAATAGGTATGCAGCTTAAATCATTATTAAATCATTATTACTTGTATTCCTTTTGTCTGTAAATTACTCAAGTCAATTAATAAATCTGAAAAATCACAAATTGACACTTTCAATAGCGGCTTTCCTCTATAGCGCCACCCCAGGCCTAACGTCAAAGTATGTGGTTGCCTGGCGCACTGGTACTAGAAATAAAACCATTCAGGATCATGGATGGTTGTGCATCTTGACCGTCCATTTTGGCATTAAGTAAAAACCAACTAGTAATTATGGCACCTTGGGGAAAAAAAGAAGAAAAGAACAAGGAGTCGCTTTGTTGAACAGCTCTTGGAAAGATTCGGGTTCCTTCAAAGAGCCGTTATTCCCATTACAATTGCTGTGTGAAATATCAGTGCATGCCGATTTGTACCTTGCATGTCTGCACATGCACAGCCTTACACTTTATGGCATATTTTACGACGGTGCCCGATTTGTACCACTTTGTTTCACAACATTTTCACGACACAACCTGATCCCGTTAATATTTCACTACATCAGGTTCATTTTATGGGCTGCTTGTGAGTGATCTCTACAGTGCAGAATGGGATATTTAGCCAGAAATTCTGATCATCGATTCTTTGTCTTCTCTGTCTGCTTATATGAAAATTTCAACGGTACAAACCGGCAGTTTGGTTGAGAACAGAGGGATCAGAAGAAAGCATCATATTTTTATAGGTGACAAAAGGAACATGTGAAAGTTGTGGCAAAATGTAAATCTGATAAATATACCATTCACAGATTTATTAATGACACTTCTCTGCCAGAATAGGACAGGATATCCTTTCCCAATTTACACAAAAAACAGCAGCTTCTGGAAATGTAATTTTTCCAAATGCATTATTCATAATATTAAAAAAGGTTAACCCAATAAAAATATATACTTTAAGAAATAGTATAAAGAGCTTTAAATTTATTACTGATATTAGTGTTTAGAACCGAGAGCCAGTTGCTTCTGATTGGTTGATTAACAAAATACGTTTTTAATCCATGACTGTTGATGATCCAGAGTCCATAAATACTGTATGATGCCCAAGACATGGAGAGTGAGCCTGGCACAGAAGAGGGGAACTAAACTATGAGAGCGGTCACACCACCTGCAGCCCCACCTACCCTGAGCTGGGACTTCTCCCCGAAGATATAGAGGGCAGCCTGCTCCTTCAGCAGCTGGGCCTGCAGGTTCTCGCTGCCTGCTGGGGGGGCCAGCTCCTTCCCGGGCAGCCGCGACGCCGCCTCAGCCGGCGAGGTGTGGGAGCCGAAACGGCTGCTGGCACGGATGCTGGCCCAGACACCTTTGGGGAAGGGGGGGGGCAGGGTGACGCGTAGGTTAATGTGCAGACAGCATGAAGACACGTTACACTGGCACTCTGTAAGCGTGACTGCGCAGCTGCAGACTCTGCATCTTCTGCATCCACAAAGCCTTCACAGGACTGGACACGAATATGCTAATGTGAGAACGGAGAAGCTAATGACGCCATGTGGCCAGAGCTGTGACAAGAAACTGTCACCAGCAGGTTACTGAATGTCGGCGATGAGTAAGCTAATGCTAATGCTAATAAGTTCAAATGCAGTTTAAAAGGTGTGTCCAGTGATATCTGATTAATAAATACATTCACAGCAGCAAGTTCAGTTAAAAGCTTTTTCCAAACAAGCATTCCTGTTTGGCTTTCTTTGCGCTGCTGTACTGATTTCTCATTTTTCAGAATAAAAGTCTCTTGTTGTGAGGCTTACGATCGGTGGATTACACCACAGTACAGGCTCATAGGTTAACGGCAGATTTATGAAACCACATGTCTGGGGCTATGAACAGTAACTTTATTTTCCTGTCAGGATAATGCTGGGTTCACTTTTGTGTTACTTTAATTTGATGTACTTCAATATATATTATTGCAAATATTCATTGCTTTAGTAAATTGCAGTATGTAAGCAGAGACTGTCCATGAAAACATCCTCCATTTTCCTTCCAATTCCCTGTGAACCCTAGTCCGGCTCGGCCATGGAGAGGATACAGCTACAGCCGTAGCACTAAGTCTGTTAGTAACAGCGGAACAACCTGCTGTTGAAATGACAGTCTGGAGTCCAGCTGCCACCAATGGAGTATAAATGAAATCCCCCATGATCAACACATCTGGCATGATGAAACACGTCAGCCATGCTGTACGGCCGGTCTACTGTAAAAATGGCCCAGTGAGAGAGGGAGACAGCTGGGGGCATGAGGACACGATGTGTTTGCATGGCGTAAGAGGGAGGACACCCCACTAAAAGTAAAACAAAAAAACAAGTTATTACAAAAAAAAAGCACAGAACCTGAATAATGGGCCCAGGGTGATGATGTTAGTGCAGTTTTCCGGAACACCAGTGACATTAAGTTACAGCTCATTTGAACAGCACTGGCTCCATTCTTCTCTACTTATTCACCAATACTTTGATCATAAAATCACTAGTTAACAAAAACCTACTATATCCTGAGATATAAGCAGTGGATTCCAACTGAGCTGTAAGTGTTGAATCACCATGTAACGTGAGAGAGACACATAGTCTGAGGACGGCATCCCAGGTGGGGAGGCAGTGTGGGGACATGGAAACGGACAATAAAAATATCAATGCTCAGATGTAACCGTTAGAAATAGTCTGAAGGATGTAACGGTAGGGGGGCGGGGGGTAGGGTTGGGGCTATCCAATGCAGCACACAGGCATAAGCATTTGGAAGATGGATGGATAGAACCTGTCTTACAATTTGTTGCTACTATAGCATCATTAAGTACCATTGGGTACATATATTTACTATTACATTACTGCCATTTAATTTCAGCTTGTGGTAACCATAATTAGGACCTGGATTTTGCCTTGACCCTGTGAGTATTAAGCTGTTAAATAGTCCTGCTTCATAATATTTATTTTTATAAATGCTTTTTTTGTAAAAGCAAAAAAAAATGTTAGTGGATATATTTGTTCCTAGCACAAATTAAATTTTCTAACAAAAATGTCACCACCCTATGTTAATTCATGCACCTTTGCAGCTCATGCTTCACCAAACGGTATATAGAGCATACAAGCACCTTCACAAAGACAAATAATTTTTTTGTGTTTGACACAGACAGGAGTGTCAGTGAGCTAAATCTAAACACATCTGCCAGTGTTCTCATGCGGCTAATTGATTATCTTAGTATTAATGGCTTGAGTATGATTAACTGTCGTGAATGCCACAGTCCCATTATATTTACGTTGTCGTTTGAGATCAATGTTTTGTAATGGAGGGATGAAATTCACAGACAAGTTTGGAAACAAGCTGAATCCTACCTTGAGCTTTAAGCATGTAATTCGGGTCCCCTGGAAGGACCAGAAAAAGTTGCATGCTCTGAGTGTGACACTCACAGATACGGGTCGGGCTGCCCGGCCTGACACAGACGCCGCCCTGTGAAACACTCCGGCGTGCGGATCTGACATCAGGGTCATGTCAGATTAGCTTTTACAATAACAGAGTTCTGAGGATTTTCCCGAGACTAAATAGCGGTGAAAACATACCACAAAGCTATAAGGGACTGGACCGCTGTAAGCGGACAGCACCACTCAGTCAGCATCCCAAGCCGACAGAAACATCTGGAGCCATGACTTTCTTATGGTTTCCAAAGGAATCCAGAAAGACACATTCCTGTTTTCCGCCTTGCAGGAAAGTACGCTATGCGATCGTTTGTGGACTCGACCGCAGTAAATAATTTTAATCTATACAACCTATATAATTGCAAGGAAAAGAATGCGACCCCCAAGGCATGCTTAGTGCTTTCTGTCCATGCAGAATTTCAAATATTTATACAGACACAGCTTCCAAGGCTGAAATCACTTGACCTTAAGGTGGCTGGCAGTTTGCATTTGCTGAAGCACAACTTGTGCTCTCCAGCAGTTCGAGGGGAACATCTGCTAATTCCAGTTATGTTGTCAGAAAAGCATTCAGATTTAGCCAAGACTAACAGAGATAGATCTGGTGGCAAGAGATGACTAGTCCAAGAGGCCCAACAATTAGGCCTATTAAACACAGTCTCTAAATGAAGATGTAGATTGATAAAAAGTAAATCAATTGGTTACCGATATGGCAGATTATGGATTAAATACACATTTAAGTTTTTTACAACGGTCGTAAACGGTCGTCTATAGACTGAACAAGACCGATGTTTCACACCAAGCGATGCCTACAGTAGTTCAACACCATGGAAGGAGAAGGACCATAGAAAAATTCACAGCAACATTACTATATCAAATGATGCAACCTTACAACCAGCAAGTGATTGACTAGGCTAATCATTTTAATTGGCCATAACAAAGCAAAAAATGCCTCACCCCCTCGAGCAAAGCTGTTAGGAATGTCCAAGTGGACGGGCACCATCCTTGCTGTTCTGGGCGTCCGTCTTTCACTGCCTTTATTAAATAGAAGAAACATTTTTTAATTAAGAGAAATACCATGTAGAGAAAATCAGACAAAAGGCTTCTCTTAGTAACAAAGACACCTTTAATTTCTTACAATTCTGCCCATGCCAGCAAAGTATCTTCTTCCTCTGCATTTCAGTGATCACAGGTAAGCCAAAAAGACGTAGATAATGGATATAAATCTCCAAGATTAGGTAAAATTATGCTAAGGTAGCATAAAGAGGGATTCTGGTGTTAAATGAGGATAGGCACATGATTTGAATCCAGAGTTATGTTTCAGATTTTTGGAGCAAACACTAGAACCACTGTCAGATTACACCCGTGGCCAAAACTGGGAAATCATGTTTCATTGTGCAAATAGTATCTGCCTTCATTTGAACTCTACATGGATTGAGATGAGGAATCCTAGTCTATCTGGATACTTTTTCACCTCCCGGTTCCACTTTATTGGTGCCAAAAGGTGGATGTTCCTTTTTTTGATTGGGGGTGAGGGGGAGATGTTTTACTCCAGTTCCCACAGACAAAGACTCATTGTAGCAAGACGGGAGATGGCTGTGATAAGACCGGCGTGCAGAGTGTTTGCACTGAGGAAGAGGAATGAACTCAGCTAAGCCTGTGCAGCCAGAATCAGAACCAATGAACCAAAGAGTGGATGGTTGGTGACCTCTTCATCTCCTGTTCCTCTTGCATAACAGGGGATTGCACCGCGGCTCCTTCCCAGCACAACACAAACAGACGTAAGTCTAAGGTGTGAATAGCTGGGAAATCTTTCACAGACAGACGAGAAACATCAGCCATTACCCTGAGCAAAATAACACCACTAAAAATCCGAAAACAAACCTTCACAATAACTCAGAGAAAACTATTTGACTTTCGTAAGAATAAGAGAGAAACCTGTTTCATTCTGCAAATAGTATTTTCCTTTATTTGAATTCTCTATGTATTGAGATGAGGAAGTCTAGTCTATCCAGATACTTGAGGAGCGTGTGCTGATTACAGCGCGTTGCCACACCCACCACACGACAAACCACCTCAGGGATGAGAACCTGAGTGCAGCCCTGCGGTGGGTGATACCTCAGCACCACACTCGTCCGAATGGACTAGTGTGTTTTTTCCGGTGGCTAGAGGGCCACTCCTGCCACCAACTCCCACGTTTTCCCTGTTAGTTGGAGGACCTGCTTGTAAGGCTGGATGCAGGTTAGCGTTGTACCCAGAACAAAGCAGCTGCAGGTTAAGGGCCTTGCAGAAGGGCCCAGTGGAGTAGGATCACCCCAGGCATTCATGGGATTTGAATCAGCAACCTTCAAATTGCTGGCACAGATTCCTAGCCTCAGAGGCACCACTCCGCCCACGATCATACAGATGTTAAAAAAAAAAAATCATCACCATGTGCTTACCTGGGGGCAAGCCAATCAGAGCTTGCTTACTTGGGAACAAGTCAATCAGAGCATGCTTACCTGGGGACAAGCCAATCAGAGCGCAGTTTCTGGGGCTATCCGAGTTGCTCTTTTTGGGGCAGGCTGGAATGGAGCTCAGTATGGCCTGCAGGTATTTCTCCTGCTCCAGGCTACTGGAAGACTCTGAGGAAACCGGTGCTTGGAGAGCACCAAACAAGAAGAATGCCATTCATTTCAGTCCTCTGACACTCTCATCAGTCAATACATATGGGCTATTAAGACTACGACTCGTGTAAAAATAGAGATATAATATATGAATAGTGGGCCTCATATCACTAATATGAGTTACCACTCATATGAAACAATACCATTATGGGTCACTATTCATTCACCACTACCATTCCAATAACCACTAATATGATTGTCATAGTTATTTCTGCATGACTCATTAGAGCTATCAAATGTTTAAAAAGTACCAAATGATAACCTGCAGGATAGCTATTCCACCCCTCATAATGAGACACCCGATTGCACACCTGTGGAAGCGCTGTTGGGGGACTTAAAGAGCCCCACCATGCTCTTGCCGTGGAAGCCCCCGGAGCGGAGCAGCACAGCCTTGGTGTGAGGGTGTCTCCAGCTGACCACAGGCAGCCGGTTATGGCGGTAACAGCGGGCCACTTTCTGCAGACTGCTGTCCGGCACTGACTGGGGCACCACAAGCAGCCCAGGATAGCTGTATGGGGGGGGGGGGGGGGCGGTAAGGGTCATACCACCAAAGGACGGGTCATTCGGTTTTTGGTGACCTGACGGTGAAACAGTCATTACTGGTGTGATTGTGCACCATGATATGGATTTGCACTAAACTGCTAACACCGCAATAAGTCAACATTTTAATTATACAACAGCCTATTTATAAAAAATAAAGCATTATTTTCTTCAACACTTCAGTTGTAATCTGAATACTTGTCCTTATATAGTATATGTAACCGGTTTATCTGCGTTGAATGAATTTTCTATTAAACACACTTTGACGCCAAGTCACGACTGAAAAATGAACAAATTCAAAATAAACTGATTTTATGTAATTATGCACATTAAATGGAAATAACCTGGTTACATATACAGTACTGTGCCAAAGTCTTAGGCAGTCCAAAGAAATGTTTAAAGCTGTGTAGCAAGTGTACTTTGGCTTAGAACAAAAAACACAATTTAACATTAGAACACATGCAAATTAAGAGTAACCCAATAAAAACTAGTAATAATTTCTTCTGTTTTCTAAAAAGTTACTGATATCTAGTTGGACTATTGAACATCAAACTCCTTTAACCTCCAAGCAAGACGTACCTTGGCGTATGCAGAACTTCTGTTTGCGCTAATGAGCCATTAGTGTTAATGACAGCAGCGAATCGAACACCCTCAACCAAAAGGCCGTAATGTTCCTAATAGAGTGGCTGTTCTGTCCTGAAATCCTACAGCTGAAAAGTTTTCAATGCAGTATTTTATAAAATGTTGGCTAAAAAGACGTAGTTTATTGGTGATTTTATGTTTGTCAAACTTTACGTTTTGCAAGAACTGTATAAAGTAATGTTTTTTATACAAATTGACTCAGGTGAAACAATTAAAAAATGTACATGCACACAACGTGTGTATTCGTTTACCTTATGGACGTCCATTAATTTATTCTCAATCTTCAAGCCACATTTACAT